TGCCAGCAGGACCGTGCTGTTGTATGTTCTGTCTCACACCTCACTGCTACAGAACTGGAGTGCAGAATGTGATTGTCCAAGAGTGGGAAGGAACAGGACTGGGAGGGATTCTCCATGGCTCTGCTCGCCTTCCAACTGTTGCTTTCTTTCCTCAACAAGGGGAAAGGGAAGGGCCTCTAGCTGCCACTCCACCACACTCAGCCATGTGCACGGCTACAGCTTACCCAAGGCCTTCATCTAGACTGCCCTGTGCACCTCCTGTCTTCATCTGCTTGAGAATCTTAGATCGTGGGAAGGTTGTCTCATTTGCATGCCTTCATTTTTCTTAAACTCTCAATAATCCAACAGGCCAAAAAATAGATAGGTCATGGAAATAGATTCTTATTTTCATTTACTAAGTAGACTAAGTGTTTGTAATAGGTTTGTCAGCCATTTGTCCTTTTGCCTTTTTCTTCTTCTTCTTTTTCTCCTTCTCCTTCTCCTCCTCCTCCTCCTCTTCTTCCTCTTCTTCCTCTTCTTCCTCCTCCTCCCTCTCCCTCCCCCCCCACCTCTTTCTTTCTCTCTCTGTAAATTGTGTTCTTTGTTCATTTACTGGTAAGAGTACATCATTTTGAGACAGGGTTTCTATGTATAACAGCGCTGGCATCCTGTAACTCACTTTGTAGATGAAAGCTGGCTTCAAATTCACAGAGATCCTCCTGCCTCTGCCTCCCAAATGCTGAAATTAAAGGTGTGTGCTACCACACCCAGCCTGCATTTTGAATTCTTCTATAAACTCTTTTAATGGAAATGCCCAGCTCAAGTGAGAGTGTTAGACTAGAAATACATATTTGGAAGTAAGTTTCTAGGAAACATCTGTTTAGAATCACAAAAGTGAATTAATTCTCTGAGGCAAAGGAAAGCTTGAATCTAGAAGGAAATTCATGGTAAGGAAGTAGGAAGAAGGGCAACTGTGGAAAGGCTAAGAGACTGTTGAGAGCAGAGAAAAGCAGGGCAGAAAGTGCTGTGTGGGCTAGGGACGAGTGCCTTCAGAGACCCTGGAAATGTGTGGCCCCAAGACTCTAAAGTGGTCAGGGAAGCCGAAGGCCAGCTGTGAAAAGACCTGGTAGTCATTGGGCCTCTGTGAGTGGATTCTTTATCATAAAGCCAGTGGGCGAGGGGTATCAGGCAAACTGAAGATGAGGTGAGGATGAAGGCTGGCAAGCAGGCATGGCCACCTGCGTGCGGTTCTACATGTGAGAGTCCAGGGAAAGGCTTCTGTCTGTCTAGTGACATGATTTCAGAGATGCCTTGCTGCTTTAACTCACAGTTGGTTAACTGCAGTAAATAGCTACTCATATTTATAAAGTGCTGTCACATCCATGACCCTTTTGACCCGTGTAACAATCCTGTAAAGTCATTATAATTATTTTCTCCATTTTGAAAATGGGAAAATTGAAGCTTGGAGAGTTTAAAGTCACTTGCTCCAAGTCAGCCGGCCGAGTGATGAGTGGCAGTACTGAGCCGCTCTTTACTGTGTCCTCCACTGCCGACACTGGAGTGTCTGCAAAGCTGGAGGGAAGTTGTTGGCACGGTCACACGGCTTCTGAAGGCTCCTTCTTAAAAACTACCTGTGTCCCTTAGCTTGCAATCCCCTTTCTCCATCTTCAGTGACTTAGAACTCTCCTCACATCCAGTATCTCTCTGACTCATCCTTCTGCCTCTTCCACACAGACATCTTCTTCCAACTCAAGGGGCTCATGTGATTACCTTTAGCCCACTTTGGGAAATCAAGGCTAATCTGATTGCAGGACCCTTAACCTGAGTCACACCTGTAAGCCCCCTTGCCATATAAAGTACTGCAGTCACAGAGGTGGTGCTGCAGCCACGGAGGTGGTGCTGCAGCCATGGAGGTGGTGCAGGTGCCTCTTGGGCATCATTTTGTTTACCACATCCTCCCTTATGCTTACTGTTTCAAGATTACATGTTCTTGCTCCCTTATGCTGGTCTTATCTCCTTGAGTAATTATCAAGACTCCGGGGAAACACTGCCTCTTTTGTGGTGTTCCCTGGTTAGTTGAATTGACTCGTTTGTTCTTTAAGGCCTTTGGAGACCCTCTTCAGTAATATTCTAGGTCCCATAAATAGCATCATGAGTCAGTGTGTTAGTCCCACCTGGAGATCCTTAGTGCAGGGCTCTGTTTTGCTCAGCATTCTGGCCAGTGTCCAGCCTGGGCCTGCGATTTACTTGGTATTTAGTAGTGTTTGTTAAATCAGCAAAGGGCTGCTTCCTGTGGGGAATTCGTCTTAACAATGTGTTAGGATGCAGAAACCCTTAACCTTAAACCCTGGGGACCTGACCCAGGTCACAAGACCAGCAGTGACACTGTTTACTTTAAAATATAAACTTCATGGAGCAAATAATGACTTTTTGCAGATCATTAACTTCCTTGATGTAGCTACTGACCAACTTGTAACCTTGGGGAAAGGTCATGGAACCTCATTCTTTCTTTTATTGAAATCGGAGAAGGTAGGACTGTTTGATCACCAGAGGTGACAGAATAGGGCAAACGCTGGGCCGCTTATGCATGCCCTTGACCACCAGCCCTGCGTTCCACCATGCTTCCCAAGTTCCTTAGCCCTCAGGACATTTACCTGCAAGACAGGGAATTGTTGTTGCATCTTCTAAAGGTTGTCCTGGGCTTGCAGGAGTTGTTAGATTCTCTGTTGGTCAGCTCTCCAATGCCATGACAATACCTAAGAATACCAGTTCAGAAGAGAAGAGACCCATGTTGACAGGGTCAGGGTTTCGGTGCGCTTGGCTCCTTGTTCCCAAGTCACGGCGAAGCAGAGATCATGTGGAGACTGTGTTTGACGCCTCACCTCATGCTGCTCATCTTCCATGATGAGAAAGCAGAGACAAGGAGGAGCATACTCCCTTCAAAGGTGCAACACTGTGGTCTTCCAATCAGTCCCCCCTTCTAAAGCTTCCACCATTTCCCACGGGGAGCCAGCCTCCGATGCATGAACAGTGGGAAGCATTTGGCTGCACCACAACAGACTTGTCCAGTGCTAAAAAACCTCCCTAAAATAGTTTCTTACTACCTTAACTCTCCCTTTGTGTTCTAAATGTGTTCAGCCCTAATTTGTCGAGAAACTGGGCAGTCAAGCTTGCTCTACTACTGCCTCAGACCAACCAGATTGCCCTTCTCCATCTCACTCTTGTGATGAGATTCTTGTCTCTTGTCACAAGTGTTGTACCCCTCTCCGCACCCTGGCTTGTAGTCCTGCTTTCCTCGGTTGTCTTCCTAGACTGATACCTGTGGGTCCTCCTTACCGCTCTGAGCATCGCCATTGTGGTAGCTCTGTGGAATACGCTGGCCCCTGAAGGCTAAAAGGCTCCATTGCCCTGGCAGGATTGTCAAGCCTTCTGGCCTTTAGCTATTTCTCAGGGCCTGTCCTTCTCTAATTGGAGATTTCTAAGAGGATGTATTGCATTATCTCAGTAGCACCTCAATGTCCACTGTGCCAGGCCCTCATGATGCAGCAGTACAGGCTGTTAGAGTCACAGTGTTGTGTTTGAATCCTGTGGCAGAACATTTGCCCAGAAAGTGTAAGGACCCTAGTTTGATCTCTAGCACAACAACAACAAATATTCCAGGCAGAAGGAGTCATGTGTGTTAAGACTCAGAAATGTGACAAGGCCATACAGCATGACCCAAAGCAAACATGCAATTTTAATTTCTGTGGAAGAGCTGGAATGGCAGAGGTTGACACAGGGGAGGAGCTAGGCCAGTGTGGCCCCAGATATCCAGAGCTTTAATGCTATACTTAGATATTAACTTGAGGGCATTTTGCAATTTGTATTCTCTCTCACTGTTTTCTTCCTCATCCCCTTTTTCTTTATGTCTTTCTCTCCCTCTTACTAGGCAAGCGGTTACCACTGAGCTATACCTCTATCCTCATCAAATTACCTTAAAACAGTGTTATGGCTTCAGGGTAGATGAATTGGAAAGGACCAGATCAGGGACAGAAATTGTCTGGGTTCTTACACGTGCTGAGCAAATGCTCTACTACTGAGCTGCATCACCAGCCCTGCCTAGAATATTTAAATACCTGTTTTCCCCTCCTAATTGTAAGCATGTAAGTGTTTGAATAGACCCAGGAGAGACAATGAGAGCATGGTTGGGGTAGTAGGAGCGGAGAGGGAGATGGAGGAAGAGGAAGGGCGGTAGGAAGTGAGGACAGAAGCACATGAACAAGTGTGACAGGAGGTGTCTGGGAAGACACTGGAGGTGGTGTCCCATCCATGCCCAGGGGAACCTTTGGCTAGAGATACATATTTGGAAGATACCTGCTTTCAGGCAGAGGTTGGATCACAGGTGTAGGTCAGATTGCTTAGAAGAAAGCAGAAAGAAGCTGGGGCTATGTTCAGGCTGGGATGCTCAAGTGATTGCATGTTAGTTAAAGAATGTGTAGGCAGCAGACCCCGGATGTGACAGATAGTGTCCAGGAAGGATTGGAAGAAAGTCATTCAGAAGGAAGCAGGCCTCGGAGGCTAGGCAGTGCTGGGACAGAGAAGGCCCCTGGATTTGACACAAAAGACTACATTTTTTTTTTATCCCTCATAACTGGAGACCAGCGTGCCTTTTCTAGGAGAGAACAGTGAGGACCAGGGGAGGGAAGGACCCAGCCGCACACACTGCTGCTGTTACGGGCAGTATGTGCAGCCTCTTGGTGTGTGAGCTGAACTGCCAAGACAGAGGCCTGCTGCTCAGAAGGAAACTGTTAATAATTTTGTTGTGGATCCTTTAAGACTTTTTTCTCTGTATATAAACAAATATGGTGTTTACATGTATCTACATATGTAATTTTAAAAATAAATATTGGCTCACACTGAACACACTCTTCTGCTGTTTTAACTTTACTTGAGAAGTGATTATCTTTCTATGGTTCTATAGGTAGAGCTATCTGAGTATTTGCCTTTTGTGTTTGTTTGTTTGTTTCTACTTTTTTTTTTAGTGTGGATTTTCTTTCTGACCGGGTCTTACTGTATACCCTGGCCTGCTCCACCTCCTGAGTGCTGGGTTACAGGTGTGTACTGGTGCGTGCTGCTTACTTATTGCAGTTTGTAAGACTGTGTGCTTGTCACCGTTGGAACGGACCCTTGATGGTGAGCTCATGGGCTGTTCCTAGCGCTTTCCTATTTTAAATAGCACTTAGGGGAATGTTTCTGTCCGTATGTTTTCTTTGCACACTTTGACAGGATGAGGGAAAGCTGACCTGGATTCACCTCTGTCCCCAGGTCTGGGCATGAAGCAGAGTCTCTGTGCCTGACTCCTGCAATGTCGTCCTTCTCTTAATATTTTTATTTATTTCTCATTTTGGTGCTGGAAACTACATCCATAGAAGATTCTCAGCATGTGTACTCGCCCTTAGTCCTCTCTTAGCCACCATCCTTGTGATTTTAGCATTTACAACACTGACCAACAGCATAAAGAACCGTCTGGGGGTTAATAGTCGCAAAGACAGGAGACTGCCTCTAGAGAGGAGAGTGCAGTGAGAGCAGCCCTGCTTTTAGGTGATTCAGAAGCACTCTCCTGAGCGATTGTTAGCTGGAAAAACACCTTCAGACGTGTCTAATGAGCACTATGTGTCTCCCAGTGTGAGTGAGGAGTGCTGACATAGGAAGAGATGAGAAGCCTTCGTAAGTAACCGGTTAGACTCAAGGTTACACTGGCTGTTGTGTACGGTCATCTTCTCTTCATCCCCAGGATTCTGCTCACAGAACCCTTTAAGAATAACAATAGTTGCCAGGCAGTGGTAGTGCACACCTTTAATTCCAGCACTTGGGAGGCAGAGGCAGGAGGATTTCTGTTCTGAGTTTGAGGCCAGCCTGGTCTACAGAGTGAATTCCAGGACAGCCAGGGCTACACAGAGAAACCCTGTCCTCAAAAAACCAAAAAAAAAAAGAAAAAAAAAAAGAAAAGAATAACAGTAGTTTCTGTCAAGCCCTGCATGACTGGTGCCTGGCCTAGAACCTTGTACAAATGGCCTTTGGGCAGCATGCGGAGAAGAGTGAGTCACATAGCTTGGGGCTGTGTGTTTGGCATAACTGGGGAGATGGTTTGACTGTTACACAATTGAAATCTTTGCTTCCCTCTGTTCCCTCTTAGTACGTATTAAATCTATGCTTTCCCATCTTTCTCTCAGATGAGATCTCCCTATGTTACCTAGCTGACCTCAAACTTGGTGGGCTTAAGTGATTGACTGTCCATGCTGCCTGAGCCTCCTGAGGAGCTAGGACTTTGGGCACGTGCCACCACACCCAACTTTATGTCAGATTCCTAAATATTTATTTTTAAATATTTAGGAGCCTTATTTTTTATTTTCATTGATTCATCGGTTAGTTTTAGTGTTGGTCTGAGTAACTTTAAGTAATGTTGTTTTATAATGTGTTCTGATACCTTAGAAGCTATCTGTAGTAGATTAACCCCTCTGGTTCAAAGTAGTATTTTATGCTCTTGGGGAACAGAGTTCCAAAGTTAAGTCTAGAAATATTTATGTTCTAGTAAAAGCCACCTACTGTAGTTTTTTTCTTTCTTTCCTTCTCTTTCTTTCTTTCTTTCTTTCTTTCTTTCTTTTTCTTTCTTCCTTCCTTCCTTTCTTTGTGTGGTGTGTGTGTGTGTGTGTGTGGTGTGTGTGTGTGTGTGTGTGTGTGTGTGTGTGTGTGTGTGTTTTGAGAAGGTTTATCTGTGCAGCCATGGATGTTCTGGAACTTACATGACTGGCCTCTAACTCAGAGATCTGCCTGCCTCTGCCTCCCAAGTGCTGTGATAAAAGGTGTGCGCCACCACCGCCCAGCTGTGATTTTTTTTTTTTAATGAGATCCTGTTAAATCTACAGCCTCCTCCTTCCTCCTCTTCTTTTTAAATAAGGTCTCATGTAGAGCACAGGCTGTTCGCAAACTTGAGATGTAACCAAGGATATGAGCTTTTGGTGTCCTGCTACCACTCCTGAGTTGCCACCCCGAGTTTACAGATCAGTTTCTCTGCTTGTGTTTTATGTGTCTATTGGTGTCTTGTGTGTCTCTTCCCAGCCTTCCATGTGATATATTCCGTTTTGTTCAGGTTATCTGTTAAGTGCTTTAGTCAAATATGTGCAGCTGTTCCTGTGGGTCTCAGCCAGCCTGCCCTTCTTACTGTCCTCACCAATGGAGACCCAAAGAAGAGTGTGCTCTTCAAGAGGCTCTCTTGGTGAGTGAGAGTTGCCTGGCACAAGGTGCAGGGTGGGCTGCCAGCAAAGCTGTGGTGACTAAGGAAGACTTCCTGGAGGAGTCTTAAGAGCTGAAGGCTAGCTGACTGAAGAGGGAGGAGAGCATTCCAGGCAGCAGGATGCTTGTAGGGATGTGTGCTCCAAAGTAAAGAGACAAGAAGATACGCTCAAGCGCTGTAGGGGCTCACAAGCAGCCGGTGTGGGATGGCGGAGGAGGGCAGCTGGAAGTGCAGCTAGGGAGTGGTGGAAGGGCCGCAGACTGTGAAGAGACTCCTGCGAAAGAGTTGGCCGTAGGACTCAAGGGTTCAAATAGAAGAGTGAAGTAATCAAACTTATGTTTTAGGGAAAAAAATCTTTAAAAAGAGAAAATATAGGGTAGAGAGATAGCTCAGCAAATAAAGGCACTTGTCACCAAGCCTAACAAACTGAGTTTGGTCTCTGGGACTGACACGGTGGAGGAGAGGACCAGCTCACAGGTTGTTCTCTGACCTGCAGATGTGTGCCATGCAAACAGAAGACCCCACGCCCACACCATGCTAATGGATACACTGGGTGCAATAAATAAATGTCAAAAAACTAAAAAGACAAATGAGGAGACTTGGCACCGTGGGCAGGGTCGGTCTCACAGAAGACGTACTGAGCATCGATGAGGCTGCTCTGGGTGCTGTGCTGGACAACACTGGAGGCTCCTGAGCTCAGCAGACACCATGGCTCCAGCACATGGCATCAGTGTGCATCTCTACAGCATCTACATAGTTTGTAGTTAGTCGAAACGTGGTTTTCACGCTTAACCAAGTTAACAACAACTCCCTAGTATAATTTAACATTTAGTGCATATCCATAGTCTTGTTTATTTCAAAATACCACTTATTTGATTCTTTCCAGGATTTAGATCACACATCCACTTGGTAACCAGGACTCAGATTCTGAAGCTGTCCTTTTGTGAACAGTGTCGTTGGCTTGAAGCAACCCTGTCGGTTGTCTTATAGAATGCCCATGTTCCGAATGTGTTTGCTTCTTCCTCTTGCACAGGTTTCCTGGAGCCTGGGAGTTAGCTTTGAATGGCCAGTGGATTGTGGTTCCTATTTTTCTCTGAGAGAGGCGAGTAGAACTAGTCATAGGCAGAACGATCAGATCCTTTGTCTCAGTCCCTCTCATAGGGGTCAGGATACAGAAAATGGCAGTGCATCCCACTCCCACAAAGTCCCCTTCAGCCTTTCCTTGCACTGGTAGTTGCTTTCTGACTGTATTGTTTATCAGGGCCTACAAAATTTCTTTCGTCAATCTGTTATATTAGTTAAATAAAAAGTGTTCTTTTAGGGTCTGTTCGGGGGGCACTCGGTTGACAGAGTGTTAGCTGTGCAAGCATGAAGATCTATGCCTTGGTCACCAGAACCCACACAGCCACGTGTTGCAGCAGAAGGGCAGGGACAGGAGGATTTCCAGGACTTGTTGGATAGTGAGACTTACTGAAGCAGTCAGCTTCAGGTTCAAAATAGATCTTGTCTCCAAAAATAAGGAGACAGGGACTGGAGAGACCGCTCAGTGGCTAAGAGCAGCACTTCCCCTTTGCAGGGAGCTGGGTTTGGTTTCCCGTACCCACATGGGAGCTCATAGCCTCTGTAACTCTAGTTCCAACAGCCCTGATCTCTTCTCCTGGCCTTCACAGGCACCAGGATACACATGGCGCACATATACACATGTGAACATAAACACTCATACACATAATATGCATTAATTAATAATGATAAAATGGAGAAGCAATTGAGAAAGGTATCCAACATCAGCCTTTAGCCTTCATACATACCCACACAATCTACTACCTACAGAAACATGCATGCAACACTCATGCACCCCAAGAATAGTCTCTTAATAAATAGGATTATTTTTTTTTTACTTAAAATATAGTAAGATTCCAAAAAGATAAGTGTTGAATTCATTCTCTCTTATTGCAATTTTGGAACCTTCCCCTTTTGTTGTTGTTTGAGATAGGGACTCACTAACCTTGACTGCCCTGAAACTCCCTATGTAGACCAGGCTGGCCTTGAACTCATCAGGATCTGCTACCTCATTTTCTGCCTAAGAGTGCTGGGATTGAAGGCATGGGCCACCATGCTCACCTTTGCTCTTTCTGACTCTACTGTCTGACTTACTACATCGGCCAATTCAGTCCCCAGGGATTATCTCATTTCACCCCCATGACACAGACCTTGCTTGCATAGAAATCTGCATCTTTGACTATGGGAGTGCTCCTCAGGACTACATAGCAGCCCTGTACAAACAAACCTCAGTTGTTCCATTTTACCAGTGAAGACTCAGGAGCTAGACGTTGTGGTGAAAGCCTGCTAGCTCAGGTGCAGAAAAGCACACAGCTGACCTTCCTCCTCAGCCAGCATCCCAGAAGGAATCCCTCTCTCATGCCTGGTTCAAAAAATCTCTTGAGACTGATCTCCCTCCCGTCTACGCCTGTGCATCTCTATCCGTCCTCCTGACTCCTTACTCTGTACTTTTTTCTTAATAATCCTCTGTTCCGTCCTGTCAACTGGTCTCTGCCTGTTGACCCGTGGTTGACTTTATTTAATCCCGTTTACAATATTCGAGCAGAAAGCTCTTGGCTTAAAGGTGTGTGCTAAGGCTGAGCCACACCACAGTTAAAAACAGGTTTTTCTAGTAAATATCACAAACTCTCACAGAGTGTGATTGAATATCTTGCAACACTGTACTTTCCAGAAGACAGAACTGAATTTCCTTCTGATTCTGTCCTGCTCTAGGTCATGCTGTGAACAAGATGCGCAGGCACTCAGACCCAGAGGTGGCAGGTCTTGCCAAAGAAGTTTACACTGAGTGGAAAACTTTCATTGAAAAACATTTGGACAGACCTTCTATTGAAGTCCGGAGTGATCCAAAAACTGAGTCATTTAGAAAGAATGCCCAGAAGTTACTTTCAGAAGGCTTGGACTTGAAGGTAAGGTCCTGCTTAGACTGTGAGTGTGAGGGCTCCTGATTAAATGAGCCTGTGCTCCCCGGACAGCTCTCACCTGCATCAGGCCCAGTCTGCAATCATCCTCAGGGCTGGAGATGTCTCAGCAGTTAAGAGCATCACTTGATGCTCTGGTAGTGGACTCGTTTGGTTCCCAACGCCCCACTGGGTGGCTCACAACCACCTACATAACTACAGCTCCAGGGACCTGACTCCCTCTTCTGGCCTTTTAGTCACTTACAATGCACATACATACTACAGACAGACAGACAGACACACACACACATACATAAAACATTTTGTATTCAATAAATTAAACTGATAGGTTATTCTTTAAGGATTCTGGATTCATAAGCATTTGAGGAGACAGTGTTTGCATGTTGGCTTTGGAACTTCCAAGACCCAGGCTCTAGTTCAGGTATCTGTTGTGTACATCAGACACACTCTTCAGCATTGCTGATGCCCGTGTCCACCTTTGAAAGGAGACTCCAAATCCCACCACTTAAGTTCTTGGGAAACTTAATGAACAGTTTATGTAAGGAAATAGTCAGTGCTGCCTGCTGGTTAGAAGTCATTTGATGGTCGGGAAGTGGTGGCACACTGGGAGGCAGAGGCACGAGGATCTCTGAGTTTGAAGCCAGCCTGGTCTACAGAGCAAATTCCAGGACAGTCAGGGCTACACAGAGAAACCCTGTTTCAAACAAACAAAAAGTCATTTAATGAATGTTGGTTTCTTTCCATTTCAATTCTTTTTCTTCCATTGAAATAAAAGTTTTGAAATGTTGTAAAATATCAGTGGTAATAAAGAAAAAAAAAAGACCCTTCATTATTTGTCAATACCTGTAACTTCAGATCTGAGACATAGAATCAACACCATAGGTATATTCCCTGTAACCCCACAGCCAAAAGTCAGGGTGATTAGTTTAACGTATACATGCTGGGCAAAATTTTGTTCATTATTAATAATATTAACCATGAGCTAAGAGTGGTAGCACATGCCTTTGATCCCAGCACTGGGGAGGTAGAAGCACACAGATCTGTAGGTTCAAAGTCAGCCTGGGGTACATAGTGAGATTCTGTCTCAAGAAATGAAAAAGCTAATGTGAGAAAAACATGGCATCCATGTCTTTCCTATTGTGAGTTGTCCTTATAGAAATATCCTTAAAGAATGAATTAGTAATGTAGGAGTTTGGGGCTGGCAAGGTGGTTCCCTGGGTGAAGGCACTGGCAGTCCGAGCCTGACACCTGGATCCCAGAACACATTGAAAGGTGGAAGGAGAGAGCTGGCTCCACAAGGTAGTTCCCTGACCTTGGCATCCATGTGTACCATGTGTGCCCACACACATCATGCTCACCCTGTCCACAAAGAAATGATAACAAAACCTTTACTGAAGGAACTCGGAGCCTGGCTTAGGAGCTGTGTCTGCCACTGAGTCTCCCTTCTGCCTCAAGTGTTTATCCAGCAAAGGGAGCAAATGGACACATTGTATTGTTCGTGCTTTTAAAGAAAGACTTGGGTTTTTTTTTAAATGAGAACTTGAAATACCAAATGAAATAGATACAGAAAGAAAAAAAAAAAAAACAGTCACCATTGAACCTGCCACCTAGAGATAATGTTAGCATTTTGGTGTGTTTTCTTTTATGGTGAATTATTACAGTTTTTAATGAAATGTCAGACAAGCTGTGGTTATCCAAGATTTATTTAGGGCAAATTATTTGCCAAATGTCCCATAAGATATTTTTATTGATTATTTAAATAACCTCCCAGAAAATTGACATAATTATTTATATTTGTGTTGTCTTGTGAACCTTGCTCAATCTCAATTACTGCCATCTTATATGTCCTATTCTATGAATCTTTATTTCTCATGTGTATGAGCTTTACTGTCTGTCTGATAGTGCAGAGACTCACTGTGCTGTAAGATAGCTTAACTTTTCCTAAAGGAAGCTTTGTATGAATAATGAAGAGAAAAAATGTGAAAGTTGTAAGTAATTTTCCAGAGTATCGATTAGCCAACAGACTCGATATTTTAAATAAAGCTTATTTTTTAAATAAACCAGGATTACTGCCGAAACATACAGTGCGGTCTATAATACGTAGTTAATGTGGTGGTAAATATCAGTTCCCTGTGGTATCTTTTTAAGTAAATGATAATAACGAAGCCATGCTTGTAAGGATTAATGAGCAGTTTGCCTGCTATATTAAACTCCATAATAATTATCCTTTTAGTTTATCCATTAATTATCCTTTAAATGGCACATCAAGTGGTAAGCGCTCAAGTGTTGCAAAGCGAAGTTTAAAAAGTGATACGTTCGTTAGTGCTTTCCAACGTAATTGGAAAGAATACCAGGTTCCATATAGCTGAATGGGTGTGTTCCCAAGGAGTACCTTTCAAAAATTTGAAGTATGCAACTTACTCAAAAAAGTATGCCTCTTCCTTGCTCAAAAAAGAAAAACAAACACCCTGTCTACCTTGCATAAACAACTTTGATGGTAGTTTTGTTAGTTTGCTATGTCCAAATGATTGACAAATCCTTTTACATAATTGCATAGGTTAACCTACACACCTGTCATTTCTGTGTTGCGGTCAATCCATGGCCCACCTAATCTACCAGTGCTGGTTGCATCTGCATCAGACACCAGGCCTCTGTAAATGTGCTTCTTCACACAGTAGTAAGCCTAAGTTCCCGGCCCAGCGATGGAAACTTTTTCCATTTATCCTTGCGTGTGTTTTTGCAAATCCCCAATCTCCCGTGTTTCTGTTTCAGTTCATGCTTTAACTGTGGAAGTCATGTGTGACGAATGCACACCCCCAGAGGTTCTCTTTTTATCACGCTGCAGAATTGCTTTCCATGTTCATGGATTCCTTCCTTGTTCCTGGAATAATGGACCAGATGAATACGACGCTGTCGCAGAAGCCTGGGCCAGTTCCCTCTCCCCTCTCCCTTCCAGGTTCTTTGTTCTTCCCAGTCCTTCAGATCTCTCCTCACACGAGCATCCCGGCGTGTCATTCTCTTACTTCCCTTTCCTCATTATCCACTCTCCTTCCTACCTCACGCATGGCCTGGGATCATTTTCCTATTATGTCATTTAAAAAAATGAACCTGATTCTAAAGTGAGCCATATCATTAAGAGTTGGGACACTGGTTGGTGGCCCAGTTGGTCGCAGATGGTGCTAATGAGGTCCAGCTCAGGGGTATATTCTCACACAGGACTGTTGGCGGTTTTTTTTCTTTGTTTAATGGATTCATGGATTCAGACTGTGCCCTGGCTTTGGCCAGCTCTCTCACAGATGTATCTAGTGGTCAGAAGGAAGTGTGGGGAGTGTATACAAATCCAGTCGTGCTAAAGTATATCACTTGCCTCCAGTGAATATACAGTTCAACAAATATGCGATCTGCTAGGTCCTGGGGAGCATACAAGCCTGAGGAACTGCCTCCCTGTCCTAAAAAGCTCCCCCTCCCCTGGCTTAGTGGCTGTGAGTGACTGCTAGAACTATAAGGCTTGCAGGAAAGAGATCCTTGGGAGCAGTTGGCATGTACACACCACAGGAGCATCTGGGAACTCAAGGTTTCATGAAAGAGATGGCTTTATAAGAGGGCTAGAATTTTATGAACCTGAAAACAAAATGGCACTCTAATGTACATTTCATCTGCCATGGGACTGATACTATTAAGTGCAGGACAAAAGGGAGGTGTGGCTGGGGAGAGACAATATTCACTCAACAGGTGTCTGTGGAGCACGGACTGTACACCTACATCTGCGCTGGGCACAGAAAACTAGGAGGTGAGTCTGGTATGAGGTCAGCCCTGAGGTGCTCCCAGTCTGCTGCTGGGAAATAAACACACAGTTAGAGCAGCATTTGGAGGCTTCACACTGAGGGTAAGGTCAAGAGAGTTCCCGGACATGGTGACTGATTGTGGTGCCACGTCTTGCCAAGACCACTCCTCTGAGACACCAGTCAGTTGGTCCAGAATTAGACAACTGAATAACACACGCTCCGCCACAGGGACTAGTAGATAATGGCAGTGAATCCGCTTCTCCTTCCCAAGAAATGGGAACTCCAAGGAACCAGTGTTGAAACGGAAGGCGTGGTTATGAGGACCAGCACACCTGGCAGTATTGCCCCTTGGTTATCTGTGCTAGGGGCCGTCTTCTTTCTAGAGTGGCATTAGGGTTTGGGGGGCTTACAACGAAGCACGCGTTGTGTGTAGAGTGTGTGTGGAACGGGGAGAGAGAACTGCGCAGTAGAGTTGGTGAGCATGGTGCGGTGCAGGGGGCAGAGCCCAGTGGGACAGGCTGTTTTAGTTTGCCTCCTGTTGCTATGATAGACACCATGATGAAGAGCAGCTTGCAGAGGAAAGGGATTATTTGGCTCACACGTCCCAGTCTGATGGAGGCAGACCCTTGACTGAGGTTACTTCGTCCTAGATGACTATAGCTTGTGTCAAGTTGACAAAGAACCAACCAGCAAGAGACCATGATCTCTGTTACAAAGACAGGATCTGGTGACTACATACAGTAACTGCCCAGTTTGGTGGGGGGTTGGGGGTGGGGCGGGGTGGGGAGTTCTTGTTCCCATTCCCATTCAGCAGATACACATCACAGAAAAATCCCTTTTTCTCAGTGTCCCAAAGAGACTGAATCATTCACCCAGAAACACCCATCTGCCACCTAAAGCACCAGGTTAGGACCCGCTGGAATAGGGTCAGCATTGAACAGGTTTGGACCAGTCAAAAGTAGCTTTGAATGAAAGCTGCTGTACACCTATACAGCTGAGCTTCATATGTGGCACAGATATTTCCCTTCATTTCTTTACTCTGATTGCCCTGAATTTAGCAAGAACATGAGAACTACTAGGTGCTCCTGTTTTCCATCACACCCCTGCACAGCATGTGCCATGCTGTCCCAGGTCTGTGGTTTGCTTTGTTTGCTTTTATTTTGACATGATCTTTCCATAAAGCTCAGGCAAGTCTTGAGCTAGCTTGTCCTGCCTTGGCCTCCTAAGAGTTAGGATGTACACCACCATGCCTGGCTCTGTTGCCCTGTGGCTACATATCTCCACCTCTCTGTTTCTGTCTCTCTGTGTCTCTCTCTCTGTCCTCCCACACCCCTTCTCATGGTGGAGGTGGTGGTGGTGTGGTGGTGGTGGTGGTTTTTCTAGACAGCGTTTCTCTGTGTAGCCCTGGCTGTCCTGGAACTCACTCTGTAGACCAGGCTGGCCTCGAACTCAGAGATCTGCCTGCCTCTGCCTCTCAGGTGCTGGGATCAAAGGCGTGCGCCACCATGCCTGACCTTATGTATTTGTATTTGTTTAGTTGTTTGGTTGATTTTGATTTTAGACAAGTACATTCTGTTCTACCCTAGATGATTTCAAATTTGCAATCTTCCCAATGCATCCTCCTTAACTTGCGGCCCTCCGGCCTCTGCCTCCTGAGTGCTGAGATTAGAGATGCGAACCTCCATTCCCTGCTTGATCTTTGTGTTTTACACACTTGTGCTGGCTAAAATGCCACCACCAGATTCACCTGTAGGCAAGCTTACCGAGCACCTTCTTAATTAGTGATTGATGCAGGAGGGTCCTGTCCACTATGGGTGGTACCAGCTCTGGGGCTTGTCCTCCGGGTGGTATAAGAAAGAAGGCCATGCAAGCCAGTAAACGGTACTCCTTCATGGTCTCTGCATCAGTTCCTGCCTCTGGGTTCCTGACTTCCTTTGATGATCAACAGTGATGTGGAAGCGTAAGCCAGATAAACCCTTTCCTCCCCAAGCTGCTTCGGTCATGGTGCTTACCACAACAGTAGAAAGTCTTACCAAGCCCAGTGCAGTGGCCCACACTAAGTGCCTAAGAAGGGTTGAAGAGGTGGTGAGAAGTAAAAACGGTCTGGGCTGTGACTACAGCTCATTGCTGGAGCACATGCCTAGCGTGTAGAAGGTCCCCAGTTCAGTTTCCAGCACCAGTCAATCAGTAAGTAAGTAATAAATAGTATTCCTGTTTTGAAGGATTTATACCAGGGGGACTGCAGTGTATATGACAATGACCAAGGAACACTGAGGACATGGTTGCAGCCTAAAGAACTCTCAGTCTTTGCACTAAGGTTTTTTTTTTTCTGTGTGTGTGTGTGTGTGTGTGTGTGTGTGTTGGAGTGGGGAGTTGCTTAAGCTTGACATACCAGCATAGCGTCGTCTTAGTTAAGATTACTGTTGCTGTGATGAAACACCATAACCAACGTTGGCTGGAAAGGATTTATTTAGCTTACATATCCTGAGTTACAGTCCACTGAGGGAACCCAAGGCAGGAGCTCAAACGGGGCAGGAACCTGGAGGCAGGAGAAGATACAGCTGATTACTGCTTGCCTCTCCTGGCTTGCTTACTCTGCTTTCTTATAGAACATAGGACCACCAGCCCAGGGTGGTACTGCCCACAGTGGACTGAGCCTTACCACTAAATAAGAAAGCGCCCTACAGCCGACTGTGGTGGCGCATGCCTTTAATCCCAGCACTTGGGAAGCAGAGGCAGAGGCAGGCAGATCTGAGTTCAGGCCCAGCCTGGTCTACAGTTCCAGAACAGCCAAGGCTACACAGAGAAATCCTATCTTGAAAAAACAAAAAAGAAAGAAGGAAGGGAGGGATGGAAGGAATGGGGAGGAAAGGAAGGGAAGGAAGGAAGGAAGGAAGGAAGGAAGGAAGGAAGGAAGGAAGGA